ATCCCACCATAGATCAGATCAAAAGTCACAAAGAAAAAAGAACCAGAAAGTCAGAGGCGAAAACAACTTTGTTCGCTGCAGTTTCAACAACCATTTTCACAAGAATTATGACTTTTGAAACAGCAAAAAAGGTTTGAGATTATCTGAATAAGCAAGAGATGAAATGATACGAGAAATATAAGCGCTGAATCTAATAAGGGAATTTGAGCTGCAAAAGATGAAAGAATCTAAGACAATCAAAGAATACTCAGACAGATTATTTGGTACCGTCAACAAGATCAGTTTACTTGGCACTAAATTTTACTAACTCAAGAATTGTAGAAAAAAAATTTGTTATTGTACCTGAAAGATATGAAGCTTCAATAACCACCTTGGAGAACACAAAGGATCTGTCCAAGATCACTTTGGCAGAGTTGTTAAATGTTTTGCAACTCAAGAACAACGGAAGCTTATGAGACAAGATCATATTGTTGGAGTCCTGGCAATCAAACACCAGAATGCCGAAAGGAACAGTATGAAGAAGAACTTAAAGAATATTCAGGCCTTGAGTTGTGAGAGCACTTCAAACAACCAAAATCGAAGCAAGGGTAGAAGCTCAAAGGGAAATTATCCTCCTTGTAAGGATTATGATAAAAAAAAGTCATGCACCATTCAAGTGTTAGAAGAGACCAAGTGCAAAATGCAGCAGATGCCATCAGCTTGGACATGAAGATGTTATTCGCAAAAGTAGATTTCAAAAGCAAGATGCAAACGCCCAAGTTGCCGATCAAGATGCAGAAGACCAGATTTTTGCGGTAACGTGTCTCTCAACAAATAGTTCTTCAAAGTGTTGGTTGATTGATGGTGGTTGTACAAACCACGTGACTCATGACAGAATTTTGTTTAAGAAATTAAAACCCACCGACATCACTAAGGTCAGAATTGAAAATGGTGGTTACATTGCTGCAAAAGGAAAAGGAACCATTGCAATTACAACAATATCCTTTTGAAAATTGGTATGTCGTATCTATGATACCTTTGGACAGAAGATTTTTCAAGTTAAAATGAGACGTAAAAGTTTCTCATTTGACCCAATAGAGGAAAAGCATACAACCCATTCTATTGAAATTAACAACATGGAAATATGGCACAAGAGACTTGGGCATTGTCATCTTCAACGAATGCTAAAAATGAAAAAAAAAACGATATTGTAAGAGGCTTACCAATTCTTGTCGATCGTTTGTCAAATTGTCATGTTTGTCAATTTGGTAAGCTAAATAGGATGTCATTTCCAAAATCATCATGGAAAATCTCACAAAAACTACAACTAATCCACACAGATGTGGGAGGACCTCAAAGAACACCATCATTTCAAGGTAGTCTTTACTACATTCTTTTCATTGATGATTTTACAAGAATGCGCAGGATTTTTTTCTTGAAATTCAAGTCAGAAGTAGCATGAGTTTTTTGGAAATTCAAAAAATGGTGAAAAATCAAAATCGCTACAAAATTCAAGCTATAAGGTCTGATAATGGAAATGAATACACCTCTGCAGAATTTAATTTGTTCTGTGAGAAAGTTGGCATTGAACATCAACTCACTGCTCCTTATACTCCATAACAAAATAGAGTTAGTGAAAGAAGAAACAGATACATCATGGAGATGGCCAAACGCATGTTGCATGAAAAAGAGTTACCAAAAAAGTTTTGAGCAGAAGCAGCAAACACTGCAGTATTTCTACAAAACAGACTTTCAAGCAAAGTTTTGGAAAACAAAACTCCATTCGAGGCTTGGAATGGGTATAAACCTTCATTAAGCTTTCTCAAAGTTTTTGGTTGTGTGTGTTTTATTTATATTCCCCATATCAAGTGGGATAAACTTGATAAGAAGGCAACTCCAAGCAATTTTATTGGATATAGCTCAGTTTCCAAAGCCTACAAGATGTATCATCCTCAAACAGGGAAAATAACGATCACTAACGATGTTCACTTCAGTGAGCATGAGACATGGGATTGGCAGGATTCAAGAAGAACAGGTAGAGTCTTATAAGAATTTAAAAACAACTTTCTTGGAGAGAAAAAACAGACCAGTAGCAAAATAAATTGGAAGATGATCCTCTAATAAGAGGAACAAAACCACTTTCAGACATCTATCAAAGATGCAACGAAACAATATGCGAACCTGCTGGACATGAAGAAACTTTTAAAGACCCGAAGTGGAAAAGAGCAATGGAGGAGGAGATGTTAATGATCCAGAAAAACAACACATGGGAATTAGTTGAAAGATTGAAAGGAAGAAAAGTCATCGAAGTAAAATGGGTATACAGAACAAAGCTCAATGCAGATTGCTCCATCAACAAATATGAAGTCAGACTTGTTGTTAAGGGCTATGCTCAGGTTTTTGGTGTTGATTACTCTGACACTTTTGCTCCTATTGCTATATTAGATATAATCAGATTATTGCTAGTCATAGCAACACAAAAAGGTTGGAAAGTGCTCCAATTAGATGTCAAGTCAGCTTTTTTAAAGGGTGTTTCACAAGAAGAAATATATGTAGAACAGCCAGATGGATTTCTGGTGCAAGGTGAAGAGGATAAGGTTTACCTGCTAAAAAAATCTCTATATGGCCTCAAGCAAGCAGTTAGAGCCTGGTATAGCAGGATAAATGAACATTTGCTGAATTTAGGTTTTAAAAAAAGTTTACCTTAAGCCACTCTTTATGTTAAACAGAAGAGAAATGATATTCTCATTGCGTCTCTTTATGTTGATGATCTTTTGGTAATAAGAAATAATGTACAATTGCCTGAGGATTTCAAACAAGAAATGATGCAGGTTTTTGAAATGACAGATCTTGATCTTATGACTTACTTTCTTGAAATGGAGGTCAAGCAAAATTAAAATAAAGTGTTCATCTGCCAGAAAAAGTATGCAAAGGAAATATTAAAAAAATTTCAGATGGAAGAGTGTAAAGCAACAAGCACACCAATGAGTCAAAAAGAGAAGCTGAGCAAGGAAAATGGTGCTAATAAAATTGATGAAACTTATTATAGAAGTCTGATTGGTTGCTTAATGTATCTTAAAGCAACAAGACCAAACATTGTTGTAAGTCTTTTATCTCAATTTATGCATTGTGTTAATGAAATACATTTAAGAGCAGTAAAAAGAATATTAAGGTATATCAAAGGTACTATTGATTATAGTGTCAAGTTTGAAAAGTGTGAAAACTTCAATTTGTATGGATTCTCAGATAGTGACTAGGTCAGATCTATTGATAACATGAAAAGTACCCAAGGATACTGTTTCAGCTTAGGTTCAGGAGTTTTCTCGTGGTGCTCAAAGAAGCGAGAGATTGTAGCACAATTCACTGCAGATGCGGAATTTATTGCAGCAATAGCAGCAGTAAACCAAGTTTTATGACTGAAGAAAACTTTATCTGATCTACATATGGAGCAAAAGAACAACACTGAGATTTTTGTTGACAATCAGGTAGCAATTGCAATTTCTCACAATCCAATGTTTCGTGGGAAAACTAAGCATTTTAATGTCAAACTCTACTTCTTGAGGGAGGTGCAGCAAAATGGAGAAATAATATTAATTTACTGCAAGTCTGAATATCAGTTAGCAGATTTGTTTACAAAACCACTTCCAGTCAGCAAGTTCAAGCTTCTAAGGCAGCAAATTGGAGTTTGTAGCTCCTAAAGCAATGAGAAGTGTTAAATATTGTTTCAGAATTGCATATGATGTAATGTTTTCTAATTTTTAGGAGTTTAATATTTTCTGAATTTTATATTTGTAATCATGACTTAATGATTAGTTAATTTAAGACCATGAACTTAGTAGGTAGTTAAATTTCAAATCTATTTAATGTAAGTTTTTTCGTTTACTGCTGTATTCTACTATTTTTCCCATCTCTAAAAACCTTCATTATACAAATAATTTGCTCCAAATCCAGCACCCCCACCGTGCCTTGTCCTTTGATGTATGTGTTATGTGATTCAGATATGGTAAGACTCGCTCCCACTTATTCTTACACTACTCCCTTGCTTGGATAATGTGAGCTGATCTTATGAAAAAAGTTTGGCATCACTTGGATAGAGCCCCCTACTGTGAAGAGTTTGGCATGAGGAATTCAGCCAAACCATTGTGGCAGGGGGCTACTTTCATTGGATTCTGGTGCATATGGCTTGCTAGAAATAATAGGATCTTCCATGATTGGTCGATGTCTTCCTACAAGCTTAGCAAGAGGGTTTCTCTCATGGCATCATTTTGGGCTAAAGCTCATGGTTATTTCCAGGAGAGTAACATCCTGGATCTCCATCACAATTAGGATTGTATCACTTCTACATAATAGGGGTGTCTTCGCATTTGGTTTTTTTTTTTTTTCTTTTTTGTTGCCTTTTTAGAGGATGTCTTATTCTCCATTTGTGTAGTTATCTAATACTTTCCCCCCTTCTTCACAAATTTCTTCTTTTATTAAGAAAAAAACAAACAAAGAGTTGCTAGAGTATGTTTCTTGACTTGTTTGAGAGAAGCTTTAACAATTCTAAGTTGACTGATAATTTTGCTCAAATGTGTTTTTCTTTTCAATAAAAGAAGATATTATTAATATGAGAGGAAAAAGTACAGCCAGGGGAGGAAGAGAAATCCTCGCCAGAGAGGCAGAAAGAAAAGCCCCTAACAACTGAGAAAACAAAGGTGAAAAACAAAAGAAAGGCTACAACCCGTGTATAAACATATCCCAGTTTTGGTGGAGATCTGTTAGGCATAAATAGAATCTTCGGGAACTATTAGAATTAACTTTCTAAAAGACTGCATCTACCTAAGTTTAAGCGAGCCCCAACTGATTGAAATTGAAGACTTAAGTAAGCAAAGGCACACATTCAAATAAATAACAAGTAACACAAACAAGGTGAACAACAGACTCTTCAATCATCAAGTCTTAAGAGATGCTAAACTTGGCAGATACTTAAATGTTCACAAAAGATAAATAATAAATAAAATAAGGTAAGTAGAATATATTACCATGGTACTGATCCTCCAACAAATATGGCTGTACTCAAAGACATGCACCTCTGTCCTGCAGCACCAAATCCTGCTGCAACTAGAGCATTCAAAGTAGCATCTACATTTGCATCAGGCATGACAACTGCGAGATTTTTGCCTCCTGTATTAGACTATTCAACACAATAAACTGTCAGTGGCTTGATTCATGTATTTCAACTTTTCTTTGCCTGGTATAGCTATGTAGAGAAACCGGTTTCATGTGAGAGAGAGAGAGAGAGACCAAAAACAGAGAAAAGAAGAAAACAAAACTCATGAAGGATACCCACCTGAACACGTTTTCCTCTAGCAGCAGCCCTAGCATATGTATACAAGCCAGACTAGAAATAAACAAACAACAAAAGTCAGGAAACTTATATAAAGATCAACAGAACCTTGAAATATTCTAACAAGAACATATGAAATTACAACTCTTTGTTCAATCCCCTCTCTATTTTTTCTCTTTTTTAAAAAAATTTATTTTTAAAGAAACCCTTCTTCCTGGACTCTACTAGACTTCTGCTTGGATAGGAGCTTTCCTTCTGTTCAACCCATTGGCATTCGCATTTTGAAGTCAAATCACTTCCACTAATAATTCTGTCTTTTTTTAAAAAAAATAAGACTTAGAATTCTATGCCCTTATACTAGTAGAATACCATATTGCTCAGAAAATGCAGTGGAAGCAGAAGATCCT